TTATATTCTTTAGTTTCCGTTTGAAAATATTTTTAAATGACTTACCATATTTTCTTTTTTTTTCTTTCTTTCTTTTTTTTTTTTTTTTTTTTGAGGCATAGTCTTGTTCTGTCACCAAGGCTGGAGTGAAGTAGAGTGAAGTGGTGTAAACTTGGCTCACTGCAACCTCTGCCTCCCAGGCTCAAGCAGCTCTCCTGTCTCAGCCTCCCAAGTACAGGGAGACTACAGGTGCATGCCACCACGCCCAGCTAACTTTTATATTTTTAGTAGAGGCAGAGTTTCACCATACTGGTCAGGCTGGTCTTGAACTTCTGACCTCAGGTGATCCACCTGCCTCAGCCTCGCAAGTGCTACTTGTGCAGACCCTCCTCATTCAGTTCATACAAGCTGAGTTGCTGCTTGTGATTTAACATAGACATTTCCTTCCAACTGTGTGATTCTTGGCCATAAATAATTCAGAAGTACTGGCAATTAAATAGAATCTTGATCCCAGTATTATAATTTCAATTAAATTAGCAAGGTAGATTTTTTTTCTGTGATTTTTACATCATTTTCTGATTCTCTTAGTGCTACACAGTCAGCCCCCTGTATCCAATGGTTCTGCATCCAGGGTTTCAACCAATCAAAATTCAAAAATATTTGGAGGCTGGGGGCAGTGGCTCACACCTGTAATCCCAACACTTTGGGAGGCTGAGGCAGGAGGATGACTTCAGCCCAGAGGTTTGAGACCAGCCTGGGCAACATAGGGAGATCCTGTCTATACAAAAATAAAAATAAATTAACCTGGTGTGGTGGTGAATCATTGTGGTCCCAGCTACTTGGGAGGCTGAGGGTCACTACAGCCTGAGAAGTTGAGGCTGCAGTGAGCCATAATCATGCCACTGCACTCTAGCCTGGGCCACAGAGGGAGACCTGTCTCAAAAAAAAAAAAAAAAAAAGGCCAGGCACGGTGGCTCATGCCTATAATCCAGCACTTTGGTGGCAGATCACGAGGTTAGGAGATCAAGACCATCCTGGCCAACATGGTGAAAACCCTTCTCTACTAAAATACAAAAAAAATTAGCCAGGTGTGGTGGTGCAAACCTGTAGTTCCAGCTACTTGGGAGGCTGAGGCAGGGGAATCGCTTGAACCTGGGAGGTGGAGGTTGCAGTGGGCCGAGATAGCACCACTGCACTTCAGCATGATGACAGAGAAAGACTCCATCTCAAAAAAAAAACCCTGAAAAAGTAATAATACAACAATAAAAAAAAACAAATATAGTATAACCACTATCTACATAGTATTTACATTGCATTAGGTATTATAAGTAATATAGAGATGATTTATTGTATAATGGAAATATGCCTAGGTTATATGCAAATACTATACCATTTGCTTTTTTCTTCTTTTTTTTTTTTTTTTTTGACAGGGTCTTGCTCTGTTGCACTGGCTGGAGTGCAGTGCTCATTCCAGCTCACTGTAACCTCAAACTTGTGTGCTCAAGGGATCCTCCTGCCGCAGCCTCCCCAGTAGCTGGGGTGCAGGCACATGCCATCATGCCTGGCTAATTTTTAAATTTTTTGTAGAGAGCGTTGTTGCCCAAGCTGGTGCACTATTTTCTGTAGGGGCGTTTGAGTATCTGGAGATTTTGGTCTTCATGGGGGTCCTGGAACCAATCTCTCATGGATGCTGAGGGATGACTGTATATCATACACATAGTTTACTGGCTTCTGCAAACAAATTTTGAGCCTCTTACCAACCAGCTAGTAAACAAACATATATTTAAATTAAAATTTATAAGTGCTAAAATTGTTTTTAACTAAAAATTCCATACATAGTACAGAAATGAAAACTAGACACTATTTCATTCCCATCTATTGGGATAATGGTGGTGAGCACTTAAGCACCAGGCTTGACTTGCTGCTCTTGTTACTTGTCCTTGGAAATTTAGGCTCTATTACACCACCAGCTCTCAAATCATTTCCCTGTTGTAGGGCTAAACTTGACGGCCTACAGAATTTCTCTAACTTAACATTTTGAATCTCTGAGAGTGCAAAACTTGGAAAAAAAAAGCAAGTGGCCTGCCTGGCAGCTTCTGCTTATTAAATGGTTTTATTTAATTCTCTCTCCTTTACGTTGCCACCTTAACAATCCTGCCAGCTACGTATCTTAAAGGATGTGATGGAGAAGTTATCAACTGGTGTTTTCAGGTACGCTGAAGTAACCAAAGCATTGTTCTTGTTTTCTATTTTCAAGGAGCCAAGGCAGTCAGTTCCAATTTTGTTTTAGCTCTCGCCATATATCTATTGCCTCCATATTTTATTATTAGGTTGGTGCAAACATAATTGCAGTTTTTCCCATTGAAGCAATTGCAATTACTTTTGCACTGACCTTATATTTCATTTAGATAAATAGCTGCACTTTAATACTTATCAAAGTATATCTGGTGGCACATCAGTAAGTATTCCCAGAGAAAGAAGTGGCTTGTGAGTTTTCCTCACTCCATTCCATAGTGTACCTTACCCTTTGCTTTTCCTCATTGCCCGTTCCAAAGCACTTTGAAATAACCAATAGCTTGAAGGAGAGAAAAGCATGGTATATTTGTTTAAAGTTGAATCTGTTTATCACTTATAAAAGAGGGAGTAAACCGGGCACGGTGGCTCATGCCTGTAACCCCAGCACTTTGGGAGGCTGAAGCAGGTGGATCACCTAAGGTCAGGAGTTCGAGACCAGCCTGGCCAACATGGCAAAACCCTGTCTCTACTAAAAATATAAAAATTAGCTGACCATGGTGGCGAACACCTGTAATCCTGGCTACTGGGGAGGCTGAGGCAGGAGAACTGCTTGAACCCAGGAGGTGGAGGTTGCAGTGAGCCGAGATGTCATTACATTCCAGCCTGGACAAGAGGGTGAAGCTCTGTCCGCCCCCCCAAAAAAAAAAGAGGGAGTAGATATTTTTTTCTTAATAACTACATTTAACTTGGAAACATTAATTGACAAATTTGTTTGAATTACTTATAGTAATAGATTTGAGGCTGGGTTCAGTGTGGGTTACACCTGTTAACTTTATTATTTATTTAATTTTTTGAGACAGTCTGGCTCTGTCACCCAGCACTTTGGGATGTCAAGGTGGTCAGATCACTTGAGGCCAGGAGTTCTACACTAGCCTGGCCAACATGGTGAAACCCATCGCTACTAAAAATATAAAAATTAGCTGATTTTTATATCAGCTTGATTCTCATACTTCAGCCTCTGAGTAATTCCAGCTACTCAGGAGGCTGAAGTGTAAGAATCATTTGAACCTGGGAGGCAGAGGTTGCAATGAGCTGAGATTGTGCCACTTCACTCCAGCCTGGGTGACAGAGCCAGACTGTCTCAAAAAATTAAATAAATAATAAAGTTAACAGATTTAAGCACTAGCAATTGTCATATGCCATCCTGTTTGTTCTGCATCTTTAACTAGACCTGACATTTCTTTTTTTTTCTTTTTTTTTTTTTTCGAGACGGAGTTTCGCTCTTGTTACCCAGGCTGGAGTGCAATGGCGTGATCTCGGCTCACCGCAACCTCCGTCTCCTGGGTTCAGGCAATTCTCCTGCCTCAGCCTCCTGAGTAGCTGGGATTACAGGCACACACCACCATGCCCAGCTAATTTTTTGTATTTTTAGTAGAGACGGGGTTTCACCATGCTGACCAGGATGGTCTCGATCTCTTGACCTCGTGATCCACCCGCCTCGGCCTCCCAAAGTGCTGGGATTACAGGCTTGAGCCACCGCGCCCGGCTAGACCTGACATTTCTAATTTCATTCTTTCTCAGACCTCAGTTGGATGAACCCATTCCACTGTATGAGGCAAAAGTTTCCATGGAAGCTGTTCAGAAAAATCAAGGAAGAAAAAAGCAAGTTGTTCAGTTTTAATTTTCTTCTTTCTCAGACCTCAGTTGGATGAACGTATTCCAGTATTTGAAGCCAGAATTTTCTTTGGAAATTGTTGAGAAATCCAAGGAAGATAAAAGCAAGTTCCATTTTTAAGCACGTTTCCCCTGTTAGGACAAGATGCTCAGTTGACACATTGAAAAGTATTTGAAAAATTGTTGTGTAAATGATCAAGATAATTCTTTAATTAACATCTTAAGGGAATTTTCTAAAAACCTTTTCATTGTTTCTATATATTTTGCCCCTGCGATAAAATTCCTTCCATGAAGAAAACCGCCGCTATCAGCAAAAGCCACACTACTCTATTGATAAAGCTGTTGCAGGCCTTTGCTAAACTATCCAAATAACGTATTAATTTTGTATCAGCTCCGTTCTCAACACCTTCATTAACAAGTCTTTGCTGTTATAATTTAAGAATTTGAGTATATTTTGAAGTCTTAAAGGACCTAGCCCATAGCCCTTAAGTTTTGTGTTGTCAAATATTCATTCACTCCGGCTTTCCCCAGGATCAAAGAAGAGGATCACATTAACTTGCCAGTGGCAGCTGCCTGGAAGGCTGAGATGACCAGTCACTGGGAACCGGGAAGGGAGGGTTGTCGGGAGGCCGCGCTGGTACAGGAAGCGTGCTGAGGTCTTACCTGAGTTCTCTATTTGGGAGTTGAGGAGGGGTGACCTAGTGCCCTCTCCTCGCCGCTTGAGAGCAGTAGCCGCTGCCCTCTCTCAAGTTTCTGGAAGCAGCAGCCTATCACCGCAGCTCAAGTTTGTTCACTTTTCAGCCCTCCAAACCCCGGGCTGATCACATCCCAGCTGCGGGCTTATTTAGAGTTCAGCTATTTCGTTGCCCCACCGGGTAGTACACATCGGCGCCCTGGATTGCACGCTTTCCAGAAGCGTCGCTGAACCTGGCGACTGGACTTTGGCCGAGGACCCTGGAGCAACGCCAGGGCAGGGTCACCGCTGGGCCAGCGGGTGGTGGCGGCCACGCGGCTGCGTAGCGGGTTTCGCAGGCTGCCGCCGCGCATGCTCTGCTAAGAACCCGTGGGGGCGGGGCCGCGTCGGGGGCCGGACCTCGGCGCGGCGCCACGTCGGGGGCGGGCCCGGCGCGCGCGGGAAGTCTCTGCGGGGCGGCCAGCAGTCCTCAGCCGCCGCTCGTCATGGCCCTTTCCGTGCCCGGCTACTTACCGGGCTTCCAAAAGCCGCCGGAGGTAGTGCGGCTCCGACGGAAAAGGGCCCGGAGTCGTGGGGCTGCTGCCTCCCCGCCCCGTGAGCTGCCGGAGGCGGCAGCCCGCCGAGCCGCCCTGGCGGCCGGACTGGCCCTTCGCCCTTTCCCTGCCGCTGGGGGCAGAGGTGGCGGCGGCCCGGCAGCAGCCCGGAGGAACCCCTTCGCCCGCCTGGACAACCGACCGCAGGTCGCCGCGGAGCCCCCCCGACGGGCCTGCCCGCGACCAGCCGGAGGCGCCGGGCCGGGTGAGTGTCTCGGAGCCTGGCCGCTGACGGTCTCTTGTCTTTCGTGGGTTGAGCCAGCTGTGAATCGGGGATGGAAAGTCCTCGCCTTCGAGGCAAGGAAATGGGCGCGAAGACTTCGGCCGTCCGTAGCCTTAGGGTGCCCCGCGCTGGGAGCCGCGGCTCCCGCAAGGCCGGGTTTGTGGGAAGAGCGCGCGCCCGCCTGCCCCGCTGCGGGCTGTGTCCACCGGACGCGTTCCCGAGGAAAGTGAGGGGCGCCGGAGGGCAGCGCGGAGCCTCTTGGAGGGGTCTTAGAGGTGTGTTGGAAGAAAGCTCGAAAAACCCTGAGAGCCCCCATCTTGTAAGGACGCTGTTTATGGGACAGGTGGCGAGCTTCCCCCGTGATTCAGGGCCTCCTTCCTCTCACGCACTCCACATTATTCTGGGGATTGGGGAATGTTGAGGTTTTGTGGGGGCAGAATTCACTAGCATTTGTCTTACCCTAAGCCTTTTGGATCTTTCGGTGTGAAAAACCGTCTCTTGTTCCCCTCAATTTTGATACTAAAGTTCAGACACAAAACTGAAGTGAAACTCATAGCTTGGATGGGGTGCGTGTGAGTTTGGGTGCTCTTGCATTTATTGAGAAACGTGTATGCCAGGTGAGGCTCCGTACGTATTTAACGCAAACTTCAGCATCCTTTACATTTTAAAAGGACAATATTTTTAACCTCAGTTTTTAGATTCTAATCAAGAAAATGATGTGCTATGGGAAGAAAAGTTTCCTGAAAGAACAACTGTTACTGAATTACCCCAGGTAATACTTTTTAAATATCGTTAGAATGTTTGTATAAACTTTTTTTTTCCTAGCTAGGATTTGAGTCTATTTTTAAAAATAAATTTATACTTCTCAGAAGCATTTTGCTTAGAAAGTAATTTTACAGAGAGGCTTGATCATCTCTACTAGGGATGAAAATACGGCATCAGCTAAGGTAAAGGAGTTGGTTTGATACAATGATGATAACTGTAAAGGTAGCTGGTGCTAAAATAGGTCTGATAGACGTGGGGGTTTTTTACCCTCTAACAGTTTTTAACACTCTTCTTTGGTCAGTTGACTTCTCCAGCTTATCACTCAAAAACCAGCTGTCATGGCCCACTTCCCCAGATTGTGGCATAGCACCGAACCTCGTTGCTCCCCTTCCCTAACACGCACACACGTTTTCATTCCCCAACTGCTGCTGTTGTGCTGTGTAGTTTGATAAATGCAGTTTGTTCTAATGGGAACAGGCTAGAAGAGTTCACAAGACCCAGTTTCTCTTGTAAATAAGTGACCTTACTATGTTCTGTCAAAGATAGTTCCTCCTTCTCTGATATTTTATTGTGTTATAAAAGAATCCTTGATGGGGCACGGTGGCTCATGTCTGTAAAACCAGCACTTTGGGAGGCCGAGGCAGGTGGATCACCTGTGATCAGGAGTTCGAGAACAGCCTGGCCAACATTGTGAAACCCCATCTCTACTAAAAATACAAAAAAATTAGCCAGGTGTGGTGGTGTGCATGCCTGTAGTCCTAGTTACTCTGGAGGCTGAGGCACCAGAATCGCTTGAACCCAAGCAAAAGAGGTTGGCAATGAGCCGAAATCGGACCACTGCACTCCAGCCTAGGCAACAGAGAGCGAGACTCTGTCCCAATTTAAAAAAAAAAAAAAAAAAAAAAAAATCCTTGAATTGTGGAGAATGTTGACCTGAAAGCACAGCAGACAGGTTGAGGGGAAACATTTGAAGTCAGGAAATGTTTCTTAAATATGGACTTTGTTAGCCCTGGATGCAGTTTCAAAGGTTTAAAAGATCGAAAATGTTTAACCACTTGGAATATTTCTACTTTAATGCAAGCATCTGTACTACCATAAAGAACTGTATAAACTAGACAGTAAAATCTGCCCTCCACCCCCATCTCCCAAAGCAGCAAATTTCCGCTTCCCACAGGTAACCACTGTTAAAAGTTTAGTGTGACTCCTTTCAGGCTTTTTTTTACAGTGTGTAATATATTTTTCATGGTATTATACAGCTTAAATAATTTAGACTTTTCAGTGATGAGTATGTTAGCTTATAAAAATCTTTAGGTTAAAGGTTTTTTTCTTGGTACTCGACTAATTTTTGCATTCTTTGTTTTGTAAAGACTCCACGTGTATCATTCTCCGAGTCTGATATTCCATCCTCAAAAAGTACTGAGCTACCTGTGGACTGGAGTATTAAAACCCGACTCCTTTTCACCTCTTCTGAACCCTTTACCTGGGCAGATCATTTGAAAGCACAGGAAGAGGCTCAAGGTCTTGTCCAGCATTGTAGGGCAATAGAAGTTACATTGCCTAAAAGTATACAGGTAATTCTGAAATAAAATAGTTATGTGTTAAAATAACAAAGTAAGTGTGAAATGCTCTCCTTTGCAAAATAGCAGAGATACTGCCTTCCATTAAGTTTTTCTTTGGACGTTTAAAGATACAAAGACTTAGGAAATACTGTCTTTCCCAAATGGTGCTTGTGGTGCTTTCATACTTTTTTTTTTTTTTTAAGTCAGATTGAGTAACAGCTCATAAATTTAGAGACTTGTCCTGCAAATTAATCAGTGTTGCAGGCAATAATTATTTATTTTTTGGTATGGCTTTTTGAGAAAGAAATACAAAGAAATGGAAAGCAATTGGGTGGGAGTGCAAGGACTGATGGATTTACCGATTTTCTTGCCTGCGTAATGGTCTTTTATAAATTTAGTGGAGTTTGTGAGTTCTAGAATGGTTTTAGAGAAATACATTTTGATTATTTTAAAGCATCAACTCAAACTAGGAAGCTGGGCACAATAGCCCACGCCTGTAATCTCAGTACTTTGGGAGAGTGAGGTGGGAGGATTACCTGAGACCAGCATGAGCAATGTAGTGAGACCCCATCTCTACAATTAAATTAGCTGAGCATGGCAGTGGGTGCCTGTAGTTCCAGCTACTTGGGAGGCTGAGTTGGGAGGATCATTTAAGCCTGGGAGGTCAAGGCTGCATGAGCTGATTGCGCCACTGTACTTTAGCCTTGGTGACACAGTGAGACTGTCTTAAAATCTATTTTTTTAAATCTCAGTCTCAAACTAGGTTAAAAAGGATTATCCTGAAAGAGGTCTTGGTATATACATCTTTTCAATAAATAGATTAGGATGATTTGTGATTTGCTGTATTAGTGTTTGCTGACTACTTTTAAAACGGCATTTTGGAGAGAGGGTTGGACATAGTGTTACCTACACACACATGCCCACCCCTACTCCTAATGATAAAAAAGGTAGTCATTGTCCTTAAGGGTGGTAGAGACAGGCACATGTTCCCATCTGTGTTTAAATGCTCTATAATATGGTTTAACATTACATCTGGCCCAAATAAAGATAAACTATGTTTTAGTTCCTGTAACAGTTACTAATGCGTTTCTATAGTAAACAATAAAGATTCTTAGACCTAAGTGTTTAGCTATTCAGTGTATCTTTAATGAAATTCTATATTTCTCAAGGGGCAAAAACTGCCCACTGTCACCTCTGGATTTTAGGATCCCAAACTCTCCACTGAGCTCCGTTGTACCTTCCAGCAGAGCCTTGTCTATTGGCTCCACCCTGCTTTACCTTGGCTACCACTGTTCCCTCGTATTGGAGCTGATAGAAAAATGACTGGAAAGACAAGTCCTTGGTCAAATGATGCAACCCTGCAGCATGTTTTAATGAGTGACTGGTAAGATTAGTAAGAAAAGCCTGTGTAATTCAATAGTGAATTTTCATTTTAGCAGTATTCTCTGTTTATCATATTTGTGACTGGATAGATTAATGGCAGAAGGATATCTGTGTCCTTGTGAATTTTATCTGAACCTATTAACATTTAAACTGTTTACTTTTTTTTTTAAGCTGCTACTCATTCTTTACGCAGTTGTAGAATGTATATAAGTGTTTGTTAAATATATACAGACAGACCTAATTCTTTAATGCTATTTCTTGTCAGTGTCTGCTTCCTTTCTTATCAGCGGCTTAGAGAAAGTCAGCAAGCAATTCTCAGTTAAGTTTTGTTTAAAGAAAAAATAACTGTTTAAGTCGTATACACTGTTAAAGTATTGAGAAATCATCAGCAAGTCCCTATAACCATTTTCAGTCCTTTAAAGCTAAGTCATATGTAACCACAAAAATTCAGACCAGTATCTAAAATATTTGTGTTGTGTTTTAAAACAGGTCTCAAACTAGATTATACAGAATTAAATTATAAACATTGCATTAAATGTTTAATAATACCTAAAGAAAATTTTTTTACTTCATAGGTCTGTGAGCTTTACTTCTCTATATAATCTGCTGAAGACAAAACTTTGCCCCTATTTCTACGTTTGCACCTATCAGTTTACGGTCCTGTTCCGAGCAGCAGGATTAGCTGGAAATGACTTAATCACAGCTCTTATATCTCCTACAACTCGAGGTTTAAGAGAAGCTATGAGAAATGAAGGTAAAGTTTAGGTTTAAAATAAGGATACTGTAGTATATAGTAACCCTATTTTAGCCTAAAAGCTATTTAAATTTAAAATGCCTTTTACCAGTTGGTTAGCAACACTAAGAAACATGTGATTTATTTCTGGTTCCCTCCCTCTCCCCCGCAATTATTTAATCCAGCAGTCCCCAAACTTTTTGGCACTAGGGACCAGTTTCATGGGTGAGGGGAGGATGGTGTCGGGATGAAACTGTTCCACATCAGACCATCATTCTTCTAAGGAATGCACAACCTAGATGTCTCACATGCGCAGAATAGGGTTTGCACCCCTGTGAGAATCTAATGCAACCACTGATGTGACAGGAGGTGGAACTCAGGCAGTAATGATCCATCGCCAGTCGCTCACCTGCTGTGCAGACCAGTTTCTAACAGGCTACAGGCCAGTACCAATCCACAGTCCTGGGATTGGGGACACCTGATTTAAACTGTTCCTTATACATATTTTTCCCTTCTTTGATCTCTAAAATAAAACATATATTGGGCCAGATAGTCACTATATACACTCTTCTAGAACTTCTTCTATAGTACCAGCTACTCCTTTAATAACATAATTTTCAAACTGAGTCAACCCATTAGTGGATCATGAAATCTATTTAGTGGACCCAATCATTACTTTTTCAAAAAGTGAACTAGAATACAATATAATTTATGAAAGAGTATTACATTACATGTATGTGTTGTTTCCCGAACCTCTTTCAAGGAGATATGTTTTTATGTGTGTATGTACTGTGTCAAGAAAGTTTGAAAACTACTGCCTTAATAGATCATTTGTAAAAACTCACGTTTCATATTTTGTACACTCGAAAAGTACAGCATGCCTGTTAAATACTTTTAATGAAAACTCAGTTACATTTTTTTTTCCTCATATAGGTATTGAATTTTCTCTGCCTTTAATAAAAGAAAATGGCCATAAAAAGGAGACAGCATCTGAAACAAGCTTGGGATATGGGGAGTATGTGATTAAAATAACTTTTTATGTCATCCAGTGACTTACAGACCCATGAAATAGATTTGTACAGGAGTACTTTGTGAAATAGAGACTCTAACTACAGCAATTTCCTAGGGAGCAAGTCATCAGTGATGAGGACGAAGAGGAAAGTTTTTCCTGGCTGGAAGAGATGGGAGTGCAAGATGAAATTAAAAAGCCAGACATACTTTCTATCAAGCTGTATCCTTTCAGTTGCTGTTAACTAGAATTAATTTTCATTGAATGACGTTAGTGAGAAGTTTAACATTGGCAGTTTTATGTGACTATAATCTTAAATTATCTTCAGATTATATTAAAACTAATTTTCCATTGTAATATTTAATAACAAGCCCCTGAGTATCAGTAAATGGTGAACTATGAAACCTTTTTTAATCAAAACGTTCAATTGTGATTGTGGGAGAATAGGTGTGTTTTGACTATAGAAGAAATTATGTTTAGGTGTCAGTTTGTAGCAAATTTAGATTAACATTTTGATTGAAATATATGCCTTAATGATTGAGTAAAGAGAGGTAGCAAGAGTATTTCCATTTCATTATGGAGAAAAGGGGTCTCAGGTGATTCAGAATCGAGATAACTGCTTTCCACAGTAGGTGGGATTTGCTTTTGCAATTTCCTTGATTGTCATCTTCAGTCGTAAAGAGAAACATGAAGTACAAATGGATCACAGACCTGAGTCTGTTGCGTTGGTGAAAGGAATCAACACCTTTACATTGCTCAATTTTTTGATCAACTGTAAGAGTTTAGTTGCTACCTCAGGTCCACAGGCAGGACTTCCGCCAACCCTTTTATCTCCTGTTGCTTTCCGAGGTGCCACAATGCAAATGCTTAAGGTAATAAAAACCTCCATAACCTAGCTTTTAAGAAGTACTTTACTTTGTTTGATAGGATAAATTCTTGATTAAAAAAAAAAACTTCTAGCATTTTTACTTGGTACATATTTTGCTTTTGCTTTCCTCCCATTAAGAAAACAAACTTTGACATAAGACAGTTACATCAAAGAAATTATGTGAAAATATATAAATTATATAAAATCTTTTTTTTTTTTTAATGGAGTCTTGCTCTGCTATCCTAACTAGACAGAATGTAGTGGGGTAATCTCAGCTCAGTGCAACCTCTGCTTCCCCTGTTCAAATGATTCTTGTACCGTGCCTCAGCCTCCTGAGTAGCTGGGATTATAGGCACACACCACACCCAGCTTTTTGTTTTGTTTTTTCTTGTTTGTTTTTGGAGAGGGAGTCTCGCTCTGTCAGCAGGCTGGAGTGCAGTGGTGCGATCTCGACACACTGCAACCTCTGACTCCCAGGTTCAAGGGATTCTCCTGCCTCAGCCTCCCAAATAGCTGGAATTACAGGCAGGTGCCACCACAACCAGCTAATTTTTGTATTTTTAGTAGAGATGGGGTTTCACCATGTTGACCAGGCTGGTCTCCAACTCCTGACCTCAAGTGATCCACCCACCTCGGTCTCCCAAAAGTGTTGGGATTACAGATGTGAGCCACTGCACCTGGCCTCTTTTTAAATTATATGAATGTGTTTTTTTGGTTGAGGAGACAAAGTCTTGCTGGAGTGCAATGGCACAATTCACTGCAACCTCAACCATCTGGGTTCAAGAGACATTCCTACCTCAGCCTCTCAAGTAGCTGGGACCACAGGTGCTTACCACCATGCCTTGCTAATTTTTTTTTTTTTTCTTTTGTCCACTCTGTCACTTAGGCTGGAGTGTAGTGGCATGATGTCGGCAGACTGCAGCCTCTGCCTCCTGGGTTCAAGTGATTCTCCTGCGTCAGCCTCCTGAGTAGCTGGGATTACAGGCGCACGCCACCATGCCTGGCTAATTGTTTTTTTTTTGTATTTTTAGTAGAGATGAGGTTTCACCATGTTGGCCAGGTTGGTATTGAACTTTTAACCTCAAGTGATCCACCCACCTTGGCCTCCCAAAGAGCTGTGATTACAGGCTTGAACCACCACGCCTGTCCTAACTTTTAAGTTTTTGTAGAGATGGGGTCTTACTGTGTTACTCAGGCTGGTCTGGAACCCCTGGGCTCAAGCGATCCTCCTGCTTTGGCCTCCCAAAGTGCTGGGATTACTAAAAGCATGAGCCACCATGCCTGGCCAAAAATTTTCTTACTGAATAAAGTAACAGTTGGCAATAAAGTAATTGGGAAGAAAAGCATTGTGGTGTTAATTTCCTTTTTTGACACTTAAGAAATAGTTGCTTGATTCCATTTTGATTTCACTAGTGAAAGGACATGGCCAAGAATGTTAAATTATAGCAGATCTCAAAAACTGGGGCAGATATAAGTAAAAGTCAAATTATACATGTAAATACAATATACATGTTAATGTTAGCAATAGAATTGAATGGATTTTAAATTTTTGTTTTTCCGGTAGTCTGCATTGACAGCGTATTACTAAATCAGATAAAATACTATATTAAAAAATGGTATTCTCTGGAATATACTTCAACTGAAAAATCTGATAATATGGAGAGGATGCTGAAAATTTGCCAAGTATTTTTACTCGCATTAACATTGTTTTGATGTCTTGGGAAATACTTTTGTTCCATAACGGTTAAAGAGGGGAAACCCCAAATGGAAACGTATTGAACACATTTTTAGCTAGAAAAAAGGTTGAAAGATTATCATTTTCCTTTTCTTTAAATTTTCATGAAGGCACGAAGTGTAAATGTGAAGACACAAGCTCTTTCTGGATACAGAGACCAATTTAGTTTGGAGATTACAGGTCCTATCATGCCTCATTGCCTGCATTCACTGACCATGCTGCTCAAATCTTCACAGAGTGGGTCTTTCTCTGCGCTACTATATCCACATGAACCAACTGCTGTATTTAACATCTGCCTGCCAGTGGACAAAGTACTTAATACAGTAAGTAGACATCTATGAGCAGACTGTTTTCATTGTAGTTTCCTCAAACTAGCTGGAAAGAAGTGAGTCATTTATGCTGAGTCACTTTTGTGTTTCAAGTAATTAAACTTACTTAAATCAATTATGAATTACTAGAGGAAGGAATAATGTCCATAAATTGTTGAATTAACTTTCATGAATTGAGTCCAAGTACAGATTTTTTCTTTTTTGAGACGGAGTCTTGCTCTGTTGCCCAGGCTGGAGTGCAGCGGCCCGATCTTGGCTCACTGCAACCTCAGCCACCTGGGTTCAAGCAGTTCTTCTGCCTCAGTCTCCCATGTAGCTGGGATTACAGGCATGTGCCACCATATCCAGCAATTTTTTCTATTTTTAGTAGAGACGGAGGGGGAGTTTCACCATGTTGGCCAGGCTGGTCTTGAACTTCTGACTTCAGGTGATCTGCCACCTTGGCCTCCCAAAGTGTTGGGATTATAGGTTTGAGCCAAGGCGCCTGGCGTCAGTCCAAGTATGATTTTAACAGTGACTAAGGAACTTCCCATTACTGAAAGGGGAAATTTTATTTTCATTGTCCTCTTGGATCCAAAACTCAGTAGTACCTGATTCCTTTATAGTTTTAGGGAAACATGATTCACTGTCAAGTATTTAACCATATTTGCCTTTGATTTTGAATATAATTAGATTTTTAGAGTTAAGACCTTTAAAATTGTCTCATGCATTTCAGTTGGCTAGACTTATAAAAATAACCATTAATATTTTGGGATTTTGTCACTACAAAAATTCTTATGTCTTCTGTTGATAGGATGAATCACATAAATGAGCCATTTATTTGTCAATCTCCATAGTAATTATTTAAAACTCGTGTGTTTCAAGACTAATATGCTTTTCACTGACTTTTATACAAATTTCCACAGGAGGTTGTTCGTAAGGAGCTTACTAACTGTGGTTTGCACCCTAAGACTCTGGCGCAACTTAGTGAAATACCGTTACTTGGGAAATCATCTTTACGGAATGTGGTGATGAGAGACTACATTTATAATTGGAGATCCTGAACACCAAAGTAAGCCTAAAAGGAATCTTTGAGGAAAAAAGCCTTCTAGCAAGGAAATTCAAGATTCTTGAAGTTAAAGGAATATACTTTAAAATACTGAAATGTTTATAAATATTTTTATTACAGTAGCATTTTAAATCGGTGTTTTCTGCTTTTACTATTTTCAGGTTAGTTTTTAGATATAAAGATGAAAAACTCAGATCACTCAAATGAGGTGTCTATATCCCCACAACCTAATTGTATAGTGAGTAGAAAACTGAATTAATGTTTCCTTGCAAACAGGAAATTGAGACTAAACACACAGCAGTTATCTCGTGGCCTTGTGACAAAGGCATCAGGGCAAAAATATGTTACTTTACTATTTACCGTAAGACTGTTAGTAGGTTCTTGTTTTATAAAGGTAGAAAATAAAATGCAGACATCTCTACTGACCTAGCTGACTGCTGATGCTTCTACCTTAATATTTTTCCTACTGATTTATAATTTTTATTTTCACATATACTAAAATTTTTTTAATGCATGTTAATTCAGGTAAAATGGCATTTTGTATTCCACATAGAATAGTGTTAAGAATTGTGAAGTATGCTGAGCTGTCATGGCAAAGTAGTATTTAATGTGCATGTGCGTGTGTAGGTGGGGATTGTATAATTCACTTTTTAAAAATAAAAGTGCTTAGAAATCAAAAGCATTGGGTAAAGAAATAATAGTATCTAAGTATTTGTTCACTTTATAATCCAGAAAATAAAACACCACATTTATTCCAGAGAAGTTTGTATTTGGGCCTTAAGCTTTTGAAAATAAAGTTTAGAGACATAGCATATGAATACCACCGTAATACACATGAAATATTCTATCAGACCCTAAAAATTAACATAAACTTTAACTTTCTCAGAGTCAACAAAATAGTGGCTGGTTGCCAATTTTATTAGATAAGTTGGTTACAGCATTTTAATTATCATTTTACGTCTACCTAGGTGTAGCTGAAATTCAAAATGCACATCAAAGTAAAACTATATCACAACTCAATGCCATACTAAATGTACTTGGCCTCTGCAATAGAATTCTAGTCAGACTTCATTTTTGACTCCCTTCTTATGACCCAAGTGGCTTTAACAGGAATGCAGGACTTAGTGCTGATCATCACACAACATACCACTTTCTTTTTATAACCTCTACAAAATTTTGAGGGGAGATGGTGGCATTAGCCCTGTGGAACAGATCTTGCTCGATTACCTCAATAACACTGGCCCAGTATCTGTCCAGCAGAACCCATTGTGAAATAGTACAAGGTGCACAGCCCTTCACTGATTACAGGCAAGTGTTACAGCAGCCTAGCCATAAGGAAGGGGAGTTACATCATAGTACAAAATACAGTATAAAAGCGTTATTTAACATTCCACACCGAAGATTACTGATGCCTTCAAACAATCGTTTGGATGTTAGCCACTTAAACAAATACATCACTAAGGTAAACAATATAAACATACCAAAACCCTGTATGGTTAAATACAATTTCCATGGTACAAAAATCAAAGCCTGGAGATGTTTTTACAGATTGCTTTTTACACAATGTCTTAAATTGCCAAATATTTACAACATTAAAGAGGAAATACATTGTGATGCAGAGTAAAATTATCTGAAATGATTATTATAAAACCTCAATCTATCTACGTGAGGCACTCCTGAAGCAAGTGGCATTAGCCATGAGGTCCTTTGGTACAAGGCCCATTGCTTGAAGAACCACAGTAGCTGCTGTGGCTTTAGCATGCTTCTTATTAGGGCTGGCAAAGCTGGGCTGGTAAGCGCTTCCATTTATCAATACCTATTCAAGAAAAACATACAATTGGGCTGGTAAGGGCTTCCATTTCTCAATACCTATTCAAGAAAAACATACAATAAGAACAGCATCAAACTTTAATATCTATTAGCTTTGTATTTTTTTTACTAAATGCTAGAAAATAATTTACAATAATATAAAACCCATACGATGTAAGTCAAATTATAATCTCAACCCAGAAGAAGCAAATCATTTGGGAAAGGGACTGCAAATTATGAGCAGATCTCCAAATTGAGAAAAAGACTGATAAAATTATTAAATTAGGTCCCCACATTCAACTAGAAAATAAACTATTTACTAGATTTTGCCCATTTTTTCCCAATTTTTAAAAAAATTGGACATTGATAAGTCATATTAAAGCACCCTTGAGTGTTTAAAAACCCCACCACTTAACTACAAATAACAAACCCCCACCCATGAACAGCTTCTTAATCCTGTGATCGTGTTTACCCCTCACCCTCTTTAAGTTATCACATTAATAAACATGTAAAATTAGTGCAGAAATTCATATTTACCCTAAAGAGAAAATGTTTGCGATGATCAGGGCCACTATCATGGACCAATAGAAATTCAGGTGGTTGCCACCTTCTTTTATTACAGATTTCCATCAAAGCAGACACAGGATGCTTGCCTGCAGGGGGGAAAAATACCCAGTTTAAAATTATTTCCACCAACTTCTGCAACAAATAATTCAAGATGGGATTAGGGCAAGAGGAAAGTCAAAAATGTGCTCTCACCTGACAGATCTTTCATTGCAGCAGAGAAGTTCCCAGACCTCTTTTGTGCTCTTTCTCCTACTGCAACAAGACCTTTAAAAAAAAAAAAAAACTGTTGACTGAATCTTAAAGCACCATTTTAAATTATTATACAAAAAAACATAGATCCCACTGTAGGAGTCTGAACCTCAAAATCTATACCTTCAAATAAAATCAACGGATTCCTACTACACTTGATTTCTCTACCAATCTTCTATTTGTTCTCTTTTGATGTGTTTCAGCATATAGATTTATGTTTTATATTCATAAACCTTGGTGTGAGAAATTGTAACAAATAGCAAATGTAAACAGAAAACAAAAATTTAAATATGGCTGGGCACAGTGGCCCATGCCTGCAATCCCAGCTACTCAGAAGGCTGAGGCAGGAGAATCACTTGAACCCAGGAGGCAGAGGTTACAGTGAGCCGAGACTGCACCACTGTACTCCTGTGCGACAAGAGCAAAACTATCTTATATATACACACAAAAATACACATTCAAACTAAGTGCCAACAGTACCAACATTCCCAAGTCTGTTTCTGTATTAGTTTAAAAAGTAGTGGTCACTGCCGGGTGCAGTGGCTCACGTCTGTAATCCCAACACTTTCATAGGCTGAGGTGGGTGGATCACCTGAGGTCAGGAGTTTGAAACCAGCCTGGCTAACATGGTGAAAGCCCGTCTCTACTAAAGAAGCAAAAATTAGCCGGGCATGGTGGTGGATGCCTGTAATCCCAGCTACTTGGGAGGCTAGAGCAGAAGAATTGCTTGAACCCAGGAGGTGGAGGTTGCAGTGAGCCAAGATTGTGCCACTGACAGCCTGGGGCGATGAGTGAAACTGTCTCAAAAAAGAAAAAAAGTAATGGTTATTTACTGGAAGTGATTTCTGCAGATTTACTGTCTCTTAAACAAAAGACGCTCAGTTAAGACTCTTCCAAAAAAGGTTAGGATTTTAAGCCTCCAAAAAGGGGAAAAAGGCAGTTGTCTCCAAATAAAACAGGTCCCTTTTTTCCTAGCAAACTCTCTTCTAACAAATGTAAGATGTTCTCAAAATATGAACATGACCTTTCTATATAACCTCCCTCTCCATAGGCTTTATTAACAAAGGGGATTAGCTATATCGCTAAACCCAAACACTGCTTTCCCAATTCCCACACACAGGCTGAGTATTCCTTATCCAAAATGCTTGGTACCAGAAGTACGTTGGATGATTCCAGGTTTTCAGATATTTGCATTATATTTTACTGGTCAAGCATCCCAAATCTGAAGAACTGAAATCCAAAGTGCACCAATGAGCATTTCCTTTGAGCGTATCAGTACTCAAAAAGTTTTGTTTTAGAGCATTTTAAGTTTCTAGATGTGGGATGCTCATCTTGTATATTACAAGAAATTTTTCAACCTTTGCTAAATAATTCCATGCTCATAGGTTTTTTCCAAACCTATCCTGGGAAATGAGCGGTTCTCCAAGAGCTTACAGTCAGGCCATGTCCCACAATTCCAAGTAGAACGCTTCCTGAAACTGTGCAATACTTAACCAAAGTATTTGGTGCAAAGCTGGTTCATTTCCAAATTCATTAACACAGATTAACTGTTGAAGTTAATTTCAACCTACTGTTTGATTACAAAGATAAAAATAAGTCCCAGTTTTATATTTGCCAATTTTTATAAATGAGGCTTAAACAAGTTATAAAAACCATACTGAGCTGGCAGCCTCTTGCGATTCCACTTATATTATTCCAAGGGAAGAAGTTATTTCACATATACCAATTAGGTACTTAACAACTACATACGAGTGACATAGATGACACAGTGCTGCCCTGCCCAGGTATCTGAAGGTAATAGGAAAATACAGTCAATGCTAACATTTCCAAGATGCCTTAGCACAAGGCAACAGGAAGAAGTAACATTATTGTCAGCAGTTGGTCTACTATACTTTAACCCGACCCAACTACTGAGCTTGAGGGAAAAAAAAAAGCAAACAGCGTTTGTGAAATCTAGGACTAAACACTGTAATAGGAAATAATGAAGATGGGCTAAAATATCTGACAAAAAATAAACCAAACTCTAGAAATAAGAATAGTCCCTTGTCAAGATAAAAGAAAATGGAAATCCTGTTTTCTAAATATGAAATCTAGTTAAATTTGGAGGTGTAGTAATATAATTAGATATACATACATTTCCATATTTAGCAACTAGCATAACAAAAGTTTCCTTTTAAAAGTTAAAACTGGTGTCTCTAGCCATAGTTATATATAAAAAAAACTATTTTGTGAACTCCAAAAGGGGTTAAAGTTTTTTCTGACAAATGGCTGCATATATAGACAAGAAGTGCCTTCAGTTCAGGATCACTGGGTTCAAAGGTTATATAAAAGGTAATGTTAAAGGAGGTGTTAATAAACATTCCAAAAAAGAACTTGTTACCTTTTCGGTCTGTCTTAAAATCAACTAGGATGGGTTCCTTATTGCCTTCTTTGTTTTTTCCTAATCCTTCTCCTTCTCTCCAGCCCATTTTTCTCATCAAAACGGCTCCCATTCCTCCAGTTACTGGGGCTGCTCTTAAGAACTGATCCTATCCAAAGAAAGAAAGGTAAAATGTCCCCATTTTACAGTTAGAACTTGGTGACAAATTCATTGTTTACTTTCTAAAAGGAGGAATCTTATTTTACTTCTAGACCTGTTACAGCAATTAAATGTGAATTCTTCTATATTTTATACATACTGTAGTGTGTTTGTTCTGATTAGTTTCACATTAATGTAATAGTATTTTGAAAGTCAAATAAGATAAGTAAATGGCAGTTTTGAAACAGTAGCCCTTGTGCCCCCACACACAAAAAAATTAGAACACTTCTGTTTTCATCCACTATTTAGGTTCACTCGTATCTCTTCTTAGCTTGCAAAATAAAAAGAAGGCAATGTTAAAACAATCAATAATATTAATTGTCCCAGGTGTACCTAGTTTATGAATAAAGCCCAGAAATCACTTAGAAATAATTTAGACACTGAAGAAGCATACTGTTGTCATCCAAAGTTTTCTTTCCCATTCTACTATAAAGCAAGTATAAATATTTTACTTAGAAAATCCCTAAAGAAGCAAAAAAAAAAAAAAAAAAAAAAAAAAACCAAAAACAAAAAAACAAAAAAAAAAAACCACAAAAAAACTCTTTAAATTTACACAGTA